CTGGATTCATGAGGCAGCATGGGCTCAGGGGCCTGATGTCATTCAACCTCTTGGCATGGAACATGTGTGTGCTGTTTGATGTCTGCTTTCTCATCACCTTCTTCTGAAATGAGAATAGTCTGGCCACAACCAATAAAGTTAGATTATAGTTGGTGAAATGATGTGGGATTGTCATATATCAATCTGTTGATTTCATTGATTAATTAAATCAAGAAACTGCTTTCCCTGATAGGTTAAAACATAGGTGGGAGGAGTAAACAGGAGGAAGTGAGGTAAGACTCCTCAGGCAGGCTCTGCTCTGCTCTGTTCCCGGAGAGACCTGACCGCTCTGCTCTCTGGAGCAGAGACGCCATGCTTAGCTCTCCTGGGTAGACTCGACAGCTCTGCTCTTTGGAGCAGAGACGCCAAGCTCTGCTCTCCCAGGCAGCTTCGACCCAGGATGGACGTAGGCTAGGATCTTCCTGGTAAGCGCACCTTGGGGTGCTTACATACATTTTTAGAAATGGACTAGTCTGAGTGCGAGAGTTAGCCGAGAAGAGGCTGGATATAATGGGCAAGCAGTCTTTAAATGAATACAGTTTGTGTGTTGTTATTTCGGGCATAAGCTAGCAGGCAGCTGGGGTGCTGGGGACGCAGCCCCGCCGCACCTATTTCAACAGTGAAAACCTAGACAACTGTGGCCTCTGTGAGTTTTTGTCTCTGTATATATTATATTCAAATGCAAATTGAGGACTAGGGTATTGCTAACTTGGTGATCAAGCCCTTGCCTGGCATGTATAAGGCCTCGAGTTTCATCCCCAGTTCTACCAAAAATAAAAACATCAGCAACAACACCAAGAAACCCAGAACAAATTAAAGTCACAAACTTTTGTTCTACATAGTACTTGCTATTTGCTTTTCCTGGTAGCCAGATGTGCAAATCTGTTTATTGGCTTGTAGACCGGGTCTCTCCAAGTAGCCTAGGCTGACCTTGAATTTACAGTCTTCCTGTCTCAGCCTCCCAAGTGCTGGGATTATAGGTATGTACCACCACACCCATATCATGGTTCAGTGTCCTTCAGTGCTTCTGGAGCTGGCCTATTGGGTAGCATAGCAAGTGCTGTGGGAAGGAGTGGAGGTCTGGACACTGGTGCCAGGCTTTCTGGATTTGATCTTCCCATTCAGTGTGAGGTGGCCAAAGAAAGGCAAGTTTGCAAAGTACTCAGAACAGTGTGGAGCTTTCCCACGTATTCACTGCATTAGGGGAGAGGCACTTTCTGCCAAGGGTGACAGAAGGTATGGCTGCCTCTTGGACTTCTCAGCAGCTCTCAATGGAGAAACTGACATCATGGCCCTTGATGGATGAGAAAACAGAAACCCACAGAGGACATAGTTGTAAACAGTAGCCAGGACTTGGTACTCACCAGGGAGGTAGACCTGAACACATGGTTCATTCCTGATTTTGAGTTCTAGGACCTGTCAGTCTCAGCCCAAAGTGGGGGTTGTGCAGGTCAGTCAGCAGCTCAGGAAGTACATTACCCATTGGACCATCTCACTAGCCTGGACCTCAATCTTTAGCATCTACATCAGTGATTCTCAACTTGTGGGTCATGACTAATGGAGGGGGTCAAACAACCCTTTCATAGGGGTCACACATCAGCTATCCTGCATATCAGATACTTACATTATGATTTATAATAGTAGAAAAATTACAGTTATGAAATATCAGCAAGAATAATTTTATGGTTGGGGGTCACCACAACATGAGGAACTGTTTTAAAGGGTCACAGCCTTAGGAAAGTTGAGAACCACTGATCTACATGGATTCCCACTCGAGCAATGGGCTGACAAGGATTGTATAACCCTTCCTCATCCATGGACCTTTAGGTGTTTCTAGCTATTGCTGGTTGGCTGCATTTTTAAAAGCTTAAAATTTCCCCACTCCCTGCCCGCCCCCACTTCAATGCTATCCAGAAAAGTGATTCACTTGGAAAGTTCTTGAATTTGTTACTATTTTTTTTTTTGAAGACAAGGTCCAGTCGACCTGGAACTCACTGTATAGATCAAGCTAGCCTCTAACTAACTCATAGAGAGATCTGTCAGCCTTTGCCTTCTGAATGTTGAGATTAAAGGCCATGGACCATTACACCCATCTGAATTCATCCAATTAAAAAAAAACATTTTTTATTCTATGAGAATTTCATACAGTGATTTTGATCATAGTGAGCTCCACTCCTTCCCTTGCATTAATTCTTGCAGGTGATTTTTCTCTTTGTTTTTTTTTTTTCTTTTGAGACTGGAAAGGGAAGGGTTACTGTTGTGCTGCATGTGTGCTGTTTGTTCCTCTCTCTGAAGGAACTTCTCTCTGTCTGCCTTCCTTCTTCTCCTTCTTTGTGATACCCCCATCCCCACCAGGACCCAGCCAAGAGTACTCATCCATTCTAGGCAAGGGTTCTACCACTGAACTGCAGGCTCAGATCTGAAGGAGCTTTCTATCCATGATTTCATTTAATTCTAGAAGGCTAGAATTCCTTTGCATGTGTTTTAGGCAAAGAGATGAGGTAGTGGTTCTGGCCTTCAAACCGTTCTGGCCCCTTATGTACTTTTCTTCTATTCTGCCAGTTGTTCTGAACATTAGAGCCCTTTAGCATTTAGGGAAGATTTGCCATGGCCATTCATGTGGATCTCTGTCCTTAACTCATAGTATATAGATGTTTGTGTGTGTTTGGCCTCAGTTTCTGTTTCTGGTAGCCCTGTTTTTGTGTGGCATGCTCTAAAACTCACGGCAAGCAGATGGTGATGGGCAGAAGCAAGCCACTTCATCTTGGAATCATCTCCAGGAGAGTGCAGCCCAGGGCTGCACTTACCACACCGCATCTTGCTTGAGCTCTGATGGATGCAGTCTGTCAAGCAGTGCAAGTGGTACATGCTCAGATGTCCATTCTTCAACTCTGTAATGTATTGTCTGCGTTTTCTGGATAGTAGAATCACATTTCAATTTATCTGTCATTTTTGTGGTTGAATAATCCAAAATGGGCAAATAAAAATGAATGTTTGTATTTAGATGCTAATTTAGCTCTCAAATGGGTTTTATTTTGGACATTATTGAAATTAATCTGTTTTCCTTGAGCACATTCCACTTATTGGCAAGGTATATTGTCCTCTCCCTCCAGAATATACTTGGTGGCGCTTGGGACAAATTCATAAGATAGATAATCCATGCCAAGATAATGGAAAAGTTTATTCTAATCCTTCTTTTAAGTGACAAATTGATGTCTGAACATTCAGAGTCTGGAAAAATAACACTTCAATCAAAGTCCTGACCCAGACAAATCCATTTCTTTTGTCTTTGCTCCTAATCCATTTCTTTTGTCTTTGCTCCTTTTTTAGACAAGTGTATTTGCATGGATAAACTCCTTTTTTTTTTCCTCCTGGGATAGAATCTTGTTCTACTCAGGCTGGCCTTAAGCTCCTGAGTTCAAGTGATTTTCATGCCTCAGTCTCCCTAGGTATGCACCCCATGTGCTCAATACCATGCACATGCCCCATCCACCCCATCCCCTTTCTGAGAAAGGGTCTCTGTGCAGACCAGGCTGGCCTTGAACTTGAATTGTAGCTGAGAATAGCTCTGGTCCTCCTGCCTCCATCTCTCAAATGCTGGCATCACTACACATGCCACCATCTTCAGTTTATAATACACATTTTAAAAAACTGTAAATGTTAAACTGCGGAGGCTTCTGGGTAAGTTACTCCTATTTGAAGAAGCGCTTGGACTTTGGAGCTGATGGATTCTCTACAGTTCCAGAACTTGAGTAACTGAACAAATCCAACCTTTCCAAGCCTTGATTTTCCTCACCTGTAAAATAAACCCATACTTTCTGTATATCATGGTTGTAAAGACAGAGATAAGGGAGTATAGGATGCACTGATGGCAGGGGCCTTTTTTGTTTCTCTGAGACCTCTGCCTTTCTCTGCCTAGAGAAAACATTTTCCTATGGAGCTGGTCTGACTTTGGCTCATTGACACTTAGCAAGTTCTCTTACATGGAGAGCTGGCACATGACCAGCTTGCTTTTGTAATAGCAAGGCATGCTGCTGTTCTAGTTCCTTAGCCGTTTTACTCACTATAAATACAAGTCAATAAAGTGGCCACAGTGATACAAGCCTGTAATCCTATTGCTTGGGATGTAGAGGCAGAAAGATCCAAGGTTCAAGGTCATCATCTACTGCATAGCATGTCTGGACCACTTGAAACCTGTTTCAACCCTCCCCCTCAAAAAATGCTAATTATAATAATATCATTTTGTTGTCACTGTGTTAGCCACTATGCAAGTGGTGTGTAGATTTGAGGCTCTTGGTGACCTTGGGAAGATCATTCAGTACTCTCAAGCTGCTTCCTCATCTATAAAACGGGGACAACAGTACTGCCTCGTGGGTTACTGGAGACTTTGAGTGAGGTGATAACAGTTGACCTCTCAGAAAGATGGCGTACAGAGCACACCAGAATATTTGCTAGGTAGACAATTGATGCTTGGGGTGCAGAGAGCTGGCCTGGTAAAAGGCAACATTTCTTATGCACACGTCTACATGCACATTCTGAAATACACTGAGGAGGAGACCTATGGCATCACACATACCAGGCAAGCACTCTACCACTGAGCTACATTCCAGGCCTTCCTTTTTTCTTGAAATAGGGTCTCACTGAGTTGCCCATTTTGTTCTGGAACTCACTTTATAGCCCAAGCAGACCTTGAACTTGAGACTATCCTATCTCAACCTCTTAAGTAGCCTGGATTGTAAGCCTTCACCACCAGGCCTAGAATAGCAAGCCATAAATGGTGGCTGGCATTTTAGCTGCTTCATAATGAAGGGGAGAGTGTTGGTAAAAGTCCTGCCACCAGCTCAGAAGTAGTGGTGACTGTTTTGGATGTAACTTGCTGAGGCAGGGCCTCTGGCAACTGTGAACACCCATTGAGATTCTAGCATCCCAACTCATGCGTTGCCTTTCTTATATTCACCCAGGCCAAGCCCAGCATCCGGTGCTTCATTAAGCCCACTGAGACACTTGAGCGGTCCCTTGAGATGAACAAACACAAGGGCAAGAAGCGGATGCAAAAGAGACCCAACTACAAAAACGTTGGGGAGGAGGAGGACGAGGAGAGAGGGCCCGCTGAAGATGCCCAGGAAGACGCTGAGAAGGCTAAAGGTACAGAGGGTGGTTCAAAAAGCATGAAGACAAGTGGGGAGCGTGAAGGTGAGTGTACCCGGGAACGGCCCTTTCACCCACGCCAGCCCCTGCAGTCAGCGAGGCTTCTGTGTCCTCTGTCTTCCTCCTGCCCCTCGTGTGTTCCCTGGGTGCTTCTGCTCTTCTCAACACCCACCAGTGTACCTCATTCTGGACAGCCTGGCCATTCAGAGGCAGCTGTGGGCCGTGCTGCAGCAGATGTGACCTGGAGCAAGGTTTCCTGTCTGTAAACGGATAGTCAGACATCATGGCCACCTTATTGTCCATTACCAGAGTTAAATCACACAGTGCATTTGGCCCCCTCAAAGCAGCACCACCCTTAGGAAACACTCTGGAGGTATTTGATGGTGCTGCTGCTGTTGTTATTGCTACCGTCTTCATTTACCATTATGGCTGCTGTTCTTACTCCTGCTAACTTGTGTCCAGTGCACTATGGGAAAGAGAGGGGGCCTGATGAATCTTTGGAGTCACATGATTAAATACAGCATCCAGATTCTCCAATAGGTTTTACAAGTCCCATCTGTTCAAAGTGAGGCACAGTTGTGTGGTATATACCCTTGGTGAACAGAAACCTGTCTTCTATTCTTGTCCTGGCAGGACTAATCCACCTTCCTCTCTTCCTGTCTCTTATGTAGATGCTAAAACCCTCTGAAACTGGAGAACATTTGGTCTGGAATTCAAAATACTTGAATGTAGCCTGTTGTTTGTATCATAGACCAGGCTCACAGCCACTCAAATGGAACCTCCAGGCAGAGCCCTTGGGTGTTGGTGTTAATGGGACTGTGCTTGGTAGTGGTTGAGTCAGAGTTCTACTGGCTGGAGTGAAGAAGATCCCACACCTTTTGGGACAAAAGCAACCTGCAACCTCTATGGAGCATCCCAGCCGAGAGCTATGAGGCTGGGGGAACATTGTGCTCACCAGCCTTCTGAACCCTGGGGCTAGCAGTGGTGACTCTATGCCCACAGACCTAAGTGACTGACAGTCATGCAGAGCTTTGCACCAATTAATACCTTTAGTTTCCCATATTGTGATGACCCTCGCAACCTATACTTCCGTTGCTACTTCATAAGTGTAATTTTGCTACTGTTAGGAATCTAATATGAATATCTGATATGCAGCCCCTGTGAAAGGGTCATTTGACCCCCACCCAAAGGATCACGAACCACAGATTGAGAACTGCTGGACTAGAGGTTTGTTTGCTTTTGAGAGCTGTGTGCAAGTCTACAGCCAGTGCATGCTCTCTCATCCCAGCCTGTTGACTCTTGTAATGATTATCATGGCAACTGTCAGTGAATGCCACAATCACACGTCAGTGAGTCTAGCCAAAATGTCCCTTGATGGCCCAGACTTCCTAAGGCCAAGGTCTCTGGCTGCTTTTATTTATGTGTTTCGTTCTTTTTGGTTTTCGTGGTATGTTTGGTTCATTTGGGTCCTGAAACCCTTTGCTTGTAAGTATCACTTTGGTGGGACAGTTGAGGGACAAACACGGGGTAAGTCATACTCACTTGCACTTGCTTATTTTAGGTTATGTTAGGGAGTTCACTAGATGGGAAGAAACTTATCAGCTCACACCCCAGGTCTAGCCAAGGTGCAGTGACATAGGGTGGGATGGGTAGATGGATGTCTGTATCTTGTTTTACACACTGTGTTCTTGTCAATTTCATCTTGGAAAGATGCTCCTGCTTTTGTTCCAGATCTTGTAAGGGATGTTCTTCAGCAAGCCAAGACTATGACTAACAGTGGACCCTAATTGTCTGCCAGATGGCCCAGCCCCGGTACAGTGGCTGTAGGCTGCTGGTTGAGGCTGCTACATCCGTTAGGCTGCTGGACTTGGAGTGTGTGTCTGGTCCTGCGTCCTGCCCCAGCACAGGGGAAGACACTTTTACCAGCCTTCCAGAGTGGGTTCCTCAGGCTGCCCAGCCAGATTGTGCCAAATAGGGCCCCAGGGTTTCCCCCAGAGACCAGCTGAAGCAGCTGACACAGACCTCATAGCTCAGCCAAGCATGACTCCCACTGATCCCATGACCATTTTATTGCCCTTGTAATTTCTCAGACACACTAATCATTCTAAAGCATGATGGGCTATCATTTCCCACTCAGTTCACCATAAACATATAAAGTGTCCACAGGCCTGGCCACTGTACTGACATTCTGAAGCTTTCCAAAGGATATACCTGATCTTTTAGTCTTAGGTTTGAAGGTGCTATTAAGGAATGTTTCTCTTCAATCTGCATCTATGTTTGGACAAAAACTGCAGCTGTTAAAATCATGTCAGTTGGAAAGGTGTCAGTTTCCTTCATTCTTTTTTTTTAATATAATTTTTTATTGAAAAAAAAATCCGCCTCCTCCCCGCCTCCCATTTCCCTCCCCGTCTCCCTTCCCCCCCCTCCTCCCTCTTCTCTCCCCCTCCCCCCACTCCTCTCCCCCTCCCTCTCCAGTCTGAAGGGCAGTCAGGGTTCCCTGCACTGTGGAAAGTCCAAAGTCCTCCACGCTCCATCCTGGTCTAGGAAGGTGAACATCCAAACTGGCTAGGCTCCCACAAAGCCAGAACATGAAGTAGGATCAAAACCCAGTGACATTGTCCTTGGCTTCTCAACAGCCCTCATTGTCAACCATATTCAGAGAGTCCAGTTTTATCCCATGATTTTTCAGTCGAAGTCCAGCTGGCCTTGGTGAGCTCACAATAGATCAGCCCCACTGTCTCCGTGGGTGGGTGCACCCCTCGTGGTCCTGACTCCTTCATTCTTAATGCAAACCAGATGTTCATTCATATAGAGTTATTCAGGGACCCATCACCAGGCCTGACTCATACGTCTCCAGTGGCTCTGTCCTAAGTTCTGAGTATGTGTATCAGCAGTAGGGATGTGAGTGCTGGGTGCTGTGTTCCAGCTTTTCCTCTTCTCCCTTCTGTGCCGAGATGGCTAGGGCACTTGCCTCTTCCTTGTGTAAGCGCGCCTTTCACTGGGCCTACATCTAGGAGGTGATCAACAGTGTGATTGTGACAGACAGGTGTTGGTACTCAGCACCGCCCCCATGTCTGCTGCCGCTGTCGTAGTGTCAAATTCTCTATATAGAAGGTAGGGTAAAACAGAAGAGTAAAAAGGGTATCTCACAAGTCGCAGTTTGTCATAGCTTGATTTGAATGTGGCATCAATGGTTTTTTTTTTATAAAGTAGCACCCAGAATTCACACTTCCTCTGCACTTAAACCCAGACGATGAAGGTGTGTGAAATGAATGTGTGCTTCTGACCCATCCTCCCCCACCCCCAGTGCACAAAGAAACTTGCCATCCCTTAGTTCTCAAGTCCTGGGTCACTTGTTTCTAAGGCTATGAGAGTACAACTACCCCCTTCAATTTCTGCAGAAATGGGCTGTTAAAGAAAGATAAAGGATGGCATCATCCCTTAGCTGGGGAAGCTTTGCCCAAGAAATCAGACTGCCTCAGCACATGGTTGTTTTTTAACTGGCCCTTCATTTGGAAGGGATAGCCATTTGTTTTTGGACTTGCTTGGAGCAGTAACTTAATAATGAGACCTGCCAGAGAGATGGAGTCACTCTACCTCCTCCTGAGAGCAATAGGGCTGAGCTGCTGGGTTTGCCTATGGAACAAGTAAGAACAGGTGGCTATCCTGACCTTTCCATCTCTCTTCCTGGAATCTCACAACAGGGCTGATGGCACCTGCCTAGTCAATTGGGATTGAGGGGTCCCCAGGGTTTTGATCCTCAGTTTTGCCCTTTTTAAAAGTCCCTTCTGGAATGAAATGGAACCCAGCCTCATTCTTGATTTACCTTTGGGATACTGAAGTCTGCCCTTGAGCAGCTTTGTAATTTTGGGTAAGCTGACTCTCAACTACACACGCGCCCCTGTGGAAGGGCGTTGCTGATGCTCAGCCCGAGGTTGCTAGAGTGAGAGCTCCCGTGTGGCAGCATTATACTCGGGGCAGAGGCATAGAGGAAAGCCTGGGTACACTCTGGGCCACACTTTCCACAGTTTCTCCAGGCCTTTCTTCTTTCCTTCCTTGCTCTGTTCCTATATGTTTGTGCTCATGTTTCTGCGTGCAGATCTTTGGTGTCTGTCCTTATCTTCCCACCTTGTGAGACAGGCTTTTGTGTTTTGCTGCTGTATACTCCAGGCAAGCTGGCTGTCTGGAGAGTCTCTTGTCTGCCTCTTACTTCATGAAGCATTATAGACACATGCTACTGAGTATGGCTTTCCATGCACTTTGAAGGGTAAAGTCAACAGTGCTAAGGGGGCCCATCTCTCCAGTATTCTTTGCATCTTGCAAAACCAAAGGATTCGAACTCTGGTCCTCTAACTTGCATGACAAGTGCTTTACCCACTGAGCTATCTTCCCAGCCCAGCCCAGCAGGCTCATTCCTAGAATGAGTAAGATGAATGAGCATAGATGAGAGTGTAAGTGTGGGGGCTAATGGGAGAGAGAGATTTGGTAGGCCCTGGTTCTGGAGTGGGGAGATTCTGCTTGTTCCTTTCCTGCAGTCTTAACAGGATAGTTGAGGTTTGTTAAGGCAGACCCTCTGAAGAACCCAGACAACCACTCTGTTGAGGAGCAGTACTAAAAAGTAACCAGCAAAAGAAGGGTACACACACCTGCCTGCCTGTTCCTGCCATCGCCATGACCAATTTCACATTGAAACACTGCTCCAGAGTCAGACAATCACAGTCCTCTGTGGTTACCTAGGTAACCAGGAGCGTGTCTTTCCCCTTCCCTTGACCTTCCTGTGAAGACCTTCCTCCTTCCCCCTCCATTGTCTTTCTGTGGTTTCTGGAATACAGAATCAGACTGAAGAAATCCTTGGATTGTGAAGTCAAAGATTACTGCAATATGCACCTGCCGTTTCTCCAAAAAGCACTTCTTCTACCAAATATTAATCAGATTGGGGTGTATATCATCCTTAGCGAGTCAGGGAATTACTGTTGTTGAAAAAATTCAGTGTGTCAGAGGCTGGGGGAGCTCCAGGAGGCGGCCAGAGTTGTCGTATCAAGAAA